GCGCCATGTCCCACCTTGGCAGACAGGCTCCTGTGTGCGGCGTGGGCTCGGTCCAGCTCCTCCTCCTTGGTTTTCAGGGCCATGGCAGGCTGGTGCCACCTCTCCTTCCAGTGCTGGGAGACCTGCTGCTGCTCAGTGAGTTGGCCCCACAGCTCCTCCTGCTTGTGCCGCAGGGCAGCCTCCAGCTCCAGGCAGCGAGCCTGCAGGGCCCCCTTCTCCACCTGCAGCTGGAACTGCGAAGCTCTGCAAAACAGGGCGAGTGCTGCACAGCGCCAGGCCTGGCTCGCCGGCCCCCTGGGACGCTGCTGCCCAGCCTTCTGCCCACGCCCCGTTCTCCTCACTCCACCCGCCTCAGCAGCCTTGACCCTCCGTGGCAGCTCAGCCCGGCTGGCGAGAGAGCCTTCTCCTCTGCAGCCGCTGCCGCCTGGAGCCGCCTCCCTCACCGAATCCCAGCAGGAACTCCCCTCACCTCTCCACAACCCCTCCCTCCGTGCCCTGGCCCAACTCCTCTCCCCAGAAGTACCACGTGCTGTCGCCAGGAATCGCCCTTTGGGATTCAGGCTGCGGGAAAGGCGCCCGGCAGCCCCCAGCCGCAGCCAAGGGAAGCCCGTTCATTGGATCGTGGATTATTTAACAGCCAGGATGAGCCGTACAGCACCTGGGACGCCGTCCCCCAGATGGTCCCGCTCCAGGGACGGGAGCAGAGAAGCCGCGTGAAGGGCTGGGGCCTCTCTGTCCCTGTCTCCCACGATCCCTGCTCCCCATAATTGGATACCTGAGCCCTTCACAGGCCGTCTGAAGAGCGGCCACCTCATGCCCCGGGCCTCCCGCCTCTCTCTGCAGCTCCAACGTCAGCGCCTCCTGCTCTCCCAGCAGCTGCACGCGCTCCGCCTCCAGGGCCTGGAGCCCGCTGGTCAGGATCTTCTTCTCCACCTCCAGGTGGTCGAGCTGCCCCAGGGCTGTCTCCAGGCTCTGATGACTCTGACCCAGCTCAGAGGACAGCTTCTCATTCACCTGCAGGGGGAACCCATGGGTATCGCTGAGACCTGGCCTCATTCACCCCCTGGATGTCCGTGCCCAGGACATCTAGAAGCTGTGTATGATGAGCTGGCAAGGGTCTCGGAGTCTAGTCCATGAGATTCGGCTGACACCCAACGACCTACAGCTCAGCTCCTAGATGTGAGGAGGTCAGGCAGAGGCTCTGTTCGGGTTACACGTGCTGGATCTTTTCTAGGAGCTCACTGGGCTTCACACCAGCTCCCTGGGAAACCCCGCCTGGGCACCACGCGGCCATGGGTGAATGACAAGACAACGAGGCAGATGCTGAGGGCATCTGGTTCCAGGCACTGTCACTGCTGCCTCAGTTGCAGAGGGGACTGTTGGAGAAACACTCTCTGGTCCTCCAACAGGTAGTGGTAGGGGACACCCACACAAGCCAACACCGTCCCTGAGCTTATTCCTGGCTCATATGGGACTGTGGCTCTGGGGTCTCATGTCACCGAGGAGGTTGGGGTTTGGAAGCAGAGCTCACGGAGTGGGGCTGGCGGGTGACACTCCTGCAGGGCCCCCTTGTCACCCAAGGAGTCACCTGTCTGAGGGTCACCAGCTCCTCCTTCATCAGGACTGTCTCCTGGTCCTGGCGGTTGGCCTGGGCCTTGGCATTCGCCAGTTCCACGTGAAGGTCGGACACTTGGCTGCTGACTCCCTCGCGGCTCCGCTGCGCCCGCTCCAGCTGCAGGGTGAGATCCTGCACCTGCTGATGCAGCGCCTCCTTCTCCTGCGGACCAAGCAGGGCCGTCACCTTTCCCTGCTGCACCTTTCCCTGAGCTCCCTGGCCTGGAATTCCCTGCCTAGCCAGAGAGAGGGAGCTCGCTCCGTTCCTCCTCCCTCTCTGCGCTGTCCGGGCTGAGCTTATCACCTGGGTATCTAAGTTCCCTCCTCTCCTTCCCCCCCACTTCCTCCTCCTCTGCCAGTCACTCCCCATCCTCCCCATCACTGCCGGCCCTGCCCCCTCTCATGTGCCTACGCCCACTCAGTACCTTCAGGAACCTCTCCCTGTCAGACAGGGCAGGCTTCAGCTTCAGGGTCAGCTCAGATACTTTCTCCTCCAGCTTGGCCACCTTGGAAGTCAGCAGTTCCTTCTCCTGTCCAGGAACATGGCACATCGGGGTGAGAAAACACCAATCAGAGACAGTCGCGGATCTGGGAGCCCTTCTGGGCATGTGAGAGAAAGTCACGAACAACCAGGGAAATAGCCTGAGCCACAGAGCCACGGCCTCGTTCAGGGAAGGAATCTTTTGGTCTACCACTCACTAGTCTAATCCGCCTACTCGAGATCCTTCACCTCTACCCAACCACTCCCACGTCGCATTCCCCTTTCCTGAGGATGCGCATAGAGAAGCTAGCAAAGCCCAGCTGCAAGCTCATCTAACTGAATGGGGAGCAGTTTAAAACAAACAAAAGGAAGTTTTTCTTCATGCAGCGCACAGTCAATCTATGGAACACCTTGCCAGAGGATACTGTGAAGATCAGGACTTCAGCAGGGTTCAAAAAAGAGCTACATAGATTCATGGAGGTTAAGAACATAAGAACGGCCATACTGGGTCAGATCAAAGGTCCATCCAGCCCAGTATCCTGTCTACCGACAGTGGCCAGCACCAGGTGCCCCAGGGGGAGTAAATTGAACAGGTAATAGTCAAGCGATCTCTCTCCTGCCATCCATCTCCACCCTCTGACAAACAGAGGCTGGAGACACTGTTCCTTTCCCATCCTGGCTAATAGCCATTTATGGACTTAACCTCCATGAATTTATCTAGTTCTCTTTTAAACCCTGTTATATTCCTAGCCTTCACAACTTCCTCAGGCAAGGAGTTCCTCAGATTGACTATGTGCTGTGTGAAGAATAACTTCCTTTTATTAGTTTTAAACCTGCTGCCCATTAATTTCATTTGGCGACCCCTAGTTCTTATATTATGGGAACAAGTACATAACTTTTCCTTATTCATTTTTTCCACATCACTCATGATTTTATAGACCTCGATCACATCCCCCTCAGTCTCCTCTTTTCCAAGCTGAAACCTCAGTCTCCTCTTTTCCAAGTCTCCTCTTTTCCAGTCTCTTTAATCTCTCCTCCAATGGGACCCGTTCCAAACCCCTCATCATTTTAGTTGCCCTTTTCTGAACCTTTTCTAATGCTAGGAGATCTTTTTACTGTTTGGTTAGGTTAGGTCCATCGATGGCGATTGGCCAGCATTTGTCAGGAAATGGGTGACAGGAGAGGTGTCACATGATGATTCTCTGTTGTGATCCCTCCCTCTGGGGCACCTCCATTGGCCACTGTGGGCAGACAGGATACCGGGCTGGATGGACCTTTGCTCTGGCCGTTCTTAGGTTCTTATGAAGCTAATGTTCTAGCCCGGGCACAATCTGGATTTAGGCCAGGACACAGAACTGAAATTGCTTAGTGGCAGGATCCAGTGAATGGCTGGACATACATTCTCATTCTCCCAGACCTGCGCCGTGCCTGACCCTGCTGACCATGAGCTGATGCTGGCTACCCTGACAGAGTCGGCACGAGTCCAGGGCAATGCACTAACATGATTTAAGCCGTTCCTGGAGAGAGGCACCCACAGAGCAGTGATGGAAAACTGCATCCGCCTCCACAAGGATCGATTCTCTCCTGGTCCTTGTCCATATCTACAGCAGCCGGTAGGCGAACAGACCCGATGACATGGACTTCAGGGCTAGCCGTATGCAGATGACACCTAGGTCTATCCGTCCTTCACTACACATGACCACCAAGAGGGCCCAGTGCTCGGCGAGATCCTCTCGCGGATGAGGAACAGCTGGCTGATGCTGAGCCAGACAAACCAAAGTGAGGTTGGGGGGCAGAAGAGAGAATTTTGAGGCATCTGCAGCCACGTAGGCCTTGGGATGGCCTTGTTATTGGGGGTGATTCAAGATGGAGCAATGAGCTCCCCCAAGAACTACGGACCATCCCAAACTTCACCGCTTCCCACTCCAGGCGTGGGGCGCATTTCTTTATCTTCTCTAATATAATCCCCAGAGACCCACAAACAAATAAAAACCCTACCAAAACAGGGCCCTCCATTCCACCCTCTGGGGAGGAGACTGAGTAAACAGTATGTGCCTGAGAGGTAGTAACATTGTATTACTGGGAGGTGATCAGACACAACTGTGATGAGCACTGGATACAAACCTGCGTAGAACAGATCCGGGCCTTCACCCCCACACGTGTACTCCTGGAGCACTAGACAGATTAGCTCTTCTTGGGTCAGCCACAAGAAAGCCCCCACGTATTTAACCCTGTCGGACTTCCCAGCCAATAAGGATCCCCAGTGCAGGTGCACACTAAGGATGCGTCTACACTGCACTCTAAACTCGAAATAAGATACGCCAATTGCGCTACGCAAATCGCATCTCGTCTTTTGGTTTTAGTTTGAAATAGGTTCTTTCGAAATTCGGCACGTCTACACAGTACCAAATTTCCAAATAAAGCGCTATTTCAAGCCATCCCTTCTCCCTCGTGCAACGAGATTTACTGGGATGGCAAAATAGCACGTCCGTTATTTCGAAAATTATTCCGAAATGCCAGGCGCGTTCCTTGGACGCAGAGGTATACCGAAATAGCCGTGGAGTGTAGACATAACCTGAGTCACTTCCTCTCACCACAGCCCCATCGGACACAGCTACCCATTCTGCCCGTCCTCGCACTCCAGTGTGCACCAGGACAGGTGCACGCACACACAGAACAGTTTGTCCTTCTGGTACTTGTGCTGCATCAGCCATTACGTCAAGGGGAGACCTTGTTTCACTGCACAGACCCTCTCATTTCCTGCCCATCCGTACCTGGCTCGTGCTGCTGTAAGCCGCCTGGAGTCTGCCCAGTTCCTCGTGCAGTGCTTTTGTCGCCTGGAGTGAATCTGTCACTCTCTCGTTGGCCTTGGTGGTCTGGCTGAAAGCCAGCAGTTGCCCCTGGCAGGCAAAAGGAGGAGGAAACCTCTGAAGTAGGAATGTGGCCTGAACCCAAACCGCTGAGCGTCTGGGGTAGCGAAGCTCCTCTCTCCTCCGGAGAGCAGCTGGAAGAAGGGACACCCGGGCCGGGCACAACTGAAAGGTGATCGCTTCGAGTCCAGGCAGTAGCAGGACTCAAGCCTTCATGTGTTTTTGGAGCCGGAGTGCGAGGTCCTGCCCCACTCTGTTGCTAACTGTGTCTGGTTTTTGTAGTTTATGGATTCAGTACAGATGGGTGCCTAATAGTGCAATGAATTCTCTTTCAGCTCTCAGGTACATCTACCCCTCAACAAGAGACCTGCTTGGGATTGGTCCTGCTTTGGGCAGGGGGCTGGACTTGATGGCTCCTGAGGTCTCTTCCAGCTCTATGATTCTGCTGCCCAGCCATGGCTGGCTCAGGGCTGGTGATCCGGGTGTGTGGGGCTTGTAGTCCTTTGGGCTTGGGTTGAAACCCGGGCCCTGAAACCCACAAGGGGGGAGCGTCTCAGTGTCTAGGCTCCGGCACGGGCCCAAATGTCTACATCTGAGCCTTGTGAATCAGCTGACTCTGCGGCCCGGTGTTGCACCTGTGGGTTTTTCTTGCGGTGCAGATAGCGATGGGGGAACCAAGCACCATGGACCCACAGACTAACCTCTTTGGCTGAGTTCAGCTGCTGGGCCATTTCATCCCGTTCTGCCTCCAAAGCCTTCATGTGTTCCTTGTAATCGCTCAGGGTTTCCTGAAGTGCTGTCATTTCTCGGTTCAGTTCCTCCTTCCCCTACAATCAACACAACGGCTACACCCGTCAGCTCCGGGGAGGCACCACCGGAGAACCCTGCGGCCTGCTCAGAGCTGGGGGAACAGTAACTGCGGGATCCGTGGAGATTTAGGGGCTAAAAGCTGCCTGGTTTGGGTCGCTGCGACCACGTAGACAGAGATTTTTGACCATTACGATAATCTCGTCTGACCTTCTGTACAAACCCGTTCCTGCCACTCCTGGTTGCAGGGCAAGGCTGGAATATCTGACCCGGGTGTCACTCACAGACGCTGACACCAGAAGGTAAAGAACCCAGGTGGTGGTGGGTTCGCTTTGAAAAGCTCGTGAATGTGAAGTCGGTCTCGTGATTTTGGATCCCGGGGCGTTGGCCCTGCGGAGATCTGCTCACCAAACCGGGGCTCTGTGCCTAACAACTCCTGCCTCGAATGGCTACTGTGCCCGAGTCCGAAAGAGCGAGTGTGTCTGTCTGCTGGAAATACGCCTTGTACGCCTGCCACTTTAAGAGACAGACTGCCAAGTACTCCCTGCCTGGCCCTGGAATGGAGCGGAGCTGCGCTCGGCTTGCGGAGGGGAGGGGCGGGAGGAGCACAAGCCTTGGGCTATATCCAGGAGGGGGGTTCACATGACTCAGCGCCACCTCTGCAAAGTGTGTCCCTTGCAGGAGCCAGCCCAGACAGATAGCAGGGGGCCATCCCCTCAGCCCCTTTCAAGGCGATTGCTCCCTAGTCCCCGCTCTGCCCTGAGCTCAGAGACTAGGACTGGACCTAGCCTGTGTGCAGAGCGGGCCTGGCAGGGAAGCAAAGGGCAAACAGATCTGTCGGCCTGCCTGTGGGAGACCCACGATCGGCCTGGCCTAAGCTCGAGGCTCTGATCGCCGTGCTGGTCCCTCACCTTGTGGCTTTCCAAAGTCTGCCCAGATCCCCAGCCACCAACAGCAGAGAGCCCGGAGGTCACAGCTCCCCCTGCCCCGCCCTGTGCTATATTTAGTGCCTGCTTCTGCTAATGATTTCTGACCTTGGGGGGGTTGCTGCTTGGGAATTGACCGTTTCTGGCATAAGCTGGGAGAGTCACGTAGCAACGCCCAGGCCCCAACACCGAGCACCCCAAACATTTACCCCGGGGGACGGGGGAGAATGAAGCTCCAGGCCTGAAAAAGCCTGCAGAGATTCTAGGAATCAGACACGTAATAGTAACCCTGTGGCCTTCCCACCGCCCCAAAATGATGTCACCGCTGCTGTGCAACCCCAAGAACTGCCGCCCTGCTCCCAGGCCGCATCCCAGCGCATGCGATCGCCGGTGTTCCAGCACAGCGCTCGTTACTGTGGGCCGTTGAATATGCCCCTGCCCGGGGCTCTGCTTCCTGCTGCATGCAGTGCTGCCTCGGAAGTGTCTGGCCCAACGCCAGGTGACAGCCTCCGTGGTCTCCCGTGCTTCTGAAAATTGCCTTGTGAATACGCATAACTGGAGTGCAAAATGCGGCACGTGGCCTATTTTAAAGCTGCGATCGGCAGGGTGTGCCAATCCTGTTTGTGTGCCTGTCTCGTCCTCGTGCGCGCAGTTAGAAAGAGACTTGTCAACCTCTTAGAACGATCCAAGTCTTCGAGTGGAAGCCATTCACGGTACTTGCAGAAAAGTAATGGCCCAGGTCTCAATGACCTTTAAAGGGGTTGTTTTTCCTGTACGTTCAAACTGCGGTTGGTCTGACAAAGCCATGTGACCATGCACCCTGGTGCTGGATTTAAGGATGCCAGCGTGTAGCCTGCTACACGATTAACTGATCAGCCTTGGCTTATCGATTAATCTTATCGACTCCACGCACGCCCCCCCGGAGCCAGAGCCTGTGAGGAGCTGGCTTTAAGCAGGCTCTCCAGGAGCACCAGATATGCCTCCCCCCACTTCTGCTGCTTGGACCTCCCCCACGGACAAGGGCTGCTGCTGGACCACCCTCTGTCCATGGCCTGGGCTGCCGTGGACAGAGGCTGCTTCTGGACAGAGGCTGCTTGGTGGCAGCCTCCCTTGCCCCTTCCCCCCCACAGCAGCCTCTGTCCATGTGGAGCTCGGACCCCCTCCCAGACAGGGGCTGCTGCCACCCCGTGCTGCTGCTTCTGGCCCCATGGGACAGGCTGGCAGGTGGGCAGGCTCGATGGCATGATCAGCACGCCAGGTGACCGTCCCAAAGGGGGTCTCTGTGACAACCACCAGGAGGGTTTGCCCACCCTTCCTTACCGCAGATAGCCTCTGGCTGGGGCTTGGGGAGACCGGGCGGTGGTTCATTCTGCTCAAACAGGATTTGGCTTTGACCACTTCCATCTCCAAATTAAGGATCCTAAAAGACAGAGACAGCAGCTCCACCCCCTTCCCTTCCGTACATCCCAATCTGTCCCTTTCCCAACAGATCCCCCCCCCAGCCACCATGTCCCTTAGTTGAGCACCACCTGACAGCTGCTCCCCGTGCCCCTTGGAGAGATGCCCCTGTTGCGTTACTGGATTTTAAGGGGAGCAGCCTGATCACTGCTGCACCCCTGGGGGGTGTAGTTGCCCAAAGTCTGTACAAAGGGGGCCATGTGAGGTGTCACATGAAAGCTTGTGTTCTACTGATTCCATGTGTTCTACTCATATAACTGTCTGATGTCTGTATGTGGAGTTCTGAATATGGGCTCTGTGCTGGTGTTGAAATGTTCTCTGCCTGAGACAGAGATGAGCCTGGCCTGAAGAAGGAATGTCCAATGAAAGACTATGCTAACTAGCAGAGCTCCAAGGACAATGGCTCACACGGTGCCCAATACACACCTGAGGAATGCGTCTGGGAACCTGCAAACCGGTCAGCATCTACTAGCTGCTGGCATGGGGCACAGAGATAGGTCACTTGGCCATGTGACCCGCTCCAGCTTGGAAGGTACCAGGAATGGATAGAAAGTGCCATGAGGGAGATCCATCTAGTCTTCAATTCTGCCACTGATCCCAGATGCAGCCTCGCAAGGGACAGCGAGCCGGGAAGGACCGCTGACCCGTCCTGACATAGGACGTACACCAGAGACTTCTAAGCTGGCAGTTTGTAACATCTCTGCTGAGAGCCTGCATCAAGAACTGAGTGATTGGTGCATGTAACGGCCTCCCTCTCCATCTTTTCTTTTTTTTATTAATAAACCTTCCGATTGTAGATTCTAAAGGATTGGCCCAGCGTGGTCTTGTGAGTAAGATCCAGAGTGTAAATTGACTGGGAACTGTGACTGGTCTTTTGCGACTGGGAGAACCCATTCGGGGTAGGTTCAATAACCCCTCACCTGCGTTAGGCCCAGGGCTGATTGTGGTACAAGGAGAGCTGGAGTGTCAGAGGGGTTTTGCTTGTGAGGCTTCCTGCTGGCCGGACAGGCAGCTGAAGCGCTCGGTGACTGGTTTGTGGCCTGTTTGGGAACGGTCGCCAGTCAGAGGCTGTAAGGAGCCCTGATTTTGAGCAATACGCCCTGAGCAGATGCCCTCAGCAGTGCCCAGACCCGGCCTGGTCTGTCACAGCCCCAACCTGAACTACCTGGTTTTCCCAACCCCCATGTTCACTCCCCGCCTCTCAGCCAGCCGCTGTCCCCCATCTGCACCGCACCCCGCACCTGGAGGGGAAGAGCAGGGCTGCACAGGTGAGCTCAGGGCTGGCAAAATGTGCCAGGCTGACTCATGGACTGGCCCTTTGCTGGCAGGTATGAGGGATAGAGCAGGGACCTCGTCAAGCCTGACCTGAGGGGAGTTCATTCAAACCCTGGCCTTGCTGCTGAGCACGCCAGCCAGGGAGACAGCTGCTGCCAAACCCAGGAGCTGTGCTTGTGGTGTGGATGCTGGTCCAGCAGGAACTGGGCTGAGACCTTACACAGAGCAACCCATCCCACACAAGCCAATAAATGCCCCGCAGGCGAGAAGAACTTTCCTTCACTCCCCACCGGCCCGGGCTGCAGCTGACGTGGATGCCTAGGGGTGTTTCCCCCTCCAGGTCTGAGCCACCCAGCCTCCAGGTGGGAACGTCTGCCCCACGGAGAATGCAGGCCACGAAGGGAGGGCAGCATGGTGCCCCCCTACAAATTTAGGCTGAGATTTCCGGGGTGCCTAAGGAGGTTGTGTCCAAAATGTGGTATCTTAGCATTGGTATAAGAACAGAAGTATAACAATGGCAGTACGTCCTATAAAATGATTTGGTACAAGTCCTGTGTACTTCTCTGGACAGCCGCCCTGGCTTCTTGTTAGTGTTACAAATTAAGCTGTGCCTCTCGTCTGCACTGCAAACTACATGACGTGACAAGTATCAGAGGGGCAGCTGTGTTAGTCTGAATCTGCATAAACAAAGAGAAGGCCTGTGGCACCGTATAGACGAACAGATTTATTGGAGCATAAGCTTTCGTGGGCAAAGACCCACTTCGTCAGATGCATGTGAGGAAGTGGGTTTTTGCCCACGAAAGATTACACTCCAATAAAGCTGTTCGTCTATAAGGTGCCACAGGACTCTTCGTTGTTTATACATGACGTGTTATTTCTGTAGTAACTATACAACCCTTTCGAAAGTGAAATCCCCAAGGCACTCCCTGGAAGACCCTTTGGCGGGAAATTCTCTGGAAAAGGTTTGGTGGGAGTGGAGGATGTGCACTAAACGTGCACTAAGCCACCACCAGTGCCCAGACGGTCACGCACGAGTGAGAGCCTTGAAGACAACCAGGAAGCATCCATCGTGCTGGATGCTAGAAACAAATGAGCAGAACTGACAAGCTTTGGAGACAGGCAGATGCCCACAAGAGTGAGAGGACAAACGTGATAAGGACAGGTGGTGACCCTGAGAGTCACCATCAAAGGAAAACTCAGAGATTAACACCCTGAAGGATCAAGGGTTGCGACGTGCCACTGCAAAACCTACAGACCCCAATGAGAACGTCCAACTGTAAAAACGGGGTTCAGTCTGGCAGAGCATCGGATCATGACTGACAGAGCCCAGCTCCTTGCTCCCGTTCGATCTAACTGGCCACTAGATCGCCCTGAGCCACGGCAGACTAGTAACTATAAGGTCGTCTGCAGGGGGTGTGTGTCTGTGTCTGTGTGCATGCGTGCACCATGACAGACTAGTAACGATAAGATCGTCTGCGGGGAGAGTGTGTGTGTGTGTGTGTGTGTCTGTGTGCATGCATGTGTGTATGCATGTCTGCAGGGGGTGTGCGTGCGTGTGTGTACATGCACCATGACAGACTAGTAACTATAAGGTCGTCTGCAGGGGGTGTGTGTCTGTGTCTGTGTGCATGCGTGCACCATGACAGACTAGTAACGATAAGATCGTCTGCGGGGAGAGTGTGTGTGTGTGTGTGTGTGTCTGTGTGCATGCATGTGTGTATGCATGTCTGCAGGGGGTGTGCGTGCGTGTGTGTACATGCACCATGACAGACTAGTAACTATAAGATTGTCTGCAGGGGGTATGGTGTGGTGTGTGGGTGTGTGTCTGTGTGCATGCGTGTGTGTGCCACAACAGACTAGTAACTATAAGATCATCTGCGGGGTGTGTGTGTGAAGATCCCGTGTGCTTCTTATGATCATAACACAACTTCTGGCAGCCTAACTCCTCAAGGTTCCTCTGAACCCCCCACTCTAGCGCAATGATTTCCCATGCTAAACATGCTCCTTAAGCTGCCCTCTTCAAGGACCCGCGCTGCATCCTATCCAGGGGGAGGTCGTGTTAGTCTGCACCCGCAAAAACAACAAGGAGTCCCGGGGCACCTTAAAACTAACAGATTTATTTGGGCACAGCTAGCACGGACAACCCCCCCTTCATCTGATGCATGGAGTGGAAATTGCAGGGGCAGGCCTCGCTACACTAGCACATGAAAAGAAGGGAGTTCTCTCATCAAGTGGGGGCCCAGTGCTAATGAGGCTCCCACGCCCAACAGTTGATGAGGAGGTGGAGAGAGCGAGGGGGAAAACGGCTTGGCTAGTGAGTCAGCCATTCCTAGTGGCTTCTCAAATCCAGATGAATAATGTCACGTCTGCAAATGAATTGCTGCTCTGTGGCTCCTCTCTGCCGTCTGGTTTTCACTCTTTGGGGGGTGGCTGCTTTGAAATCTGCCCCTGGGTGGCCAGGGAGGTGGACGTGCTCTCTGACTGGTGTTTGTGTGTTCCTGCTCTCGCTGTCTGATTTGCGTCCATTTATTCTTTGGGGCATGGATTGTTGGGTCTGTCCAATGCCCATGGCTGAGGGGCACTGCCGGCACACGCTGGCATCGATCACGTTAGCACAGTGTTTCTTAAACTTTTTAAGACCAAGGAACACCAAGAATTTTTTTTTCAGAAAAAAAAAAAGGTTGGGGGGAAGTTATTGAGGAAAAAAAAAAGTCGCTTGTCCCTTTAAGGGTGGCCATTTTGAATTCTGTTGTTCTCCATGGCACACCGGTGTGTCACAGAACACAGTTTAAGAAACACTGCATTAGCAAGTGTGCAGGTGAATGAGCCCCTGATGGCCTGGCTGATGTGATTAGGTCCTATGATGGCGCCACGTGGGTTGATATATGGACCGAGTTGGCAATGAGGCTTGTTGCAGGGACTGGTTCCTGGGTTAGTGTTTCTGTGGGAGAGTTATTGGGGAGTTCCTGCTTGTGCCCGAATAAATCTGAGAGTCTTTACGGTGCCCCAGGGCTCCTGGTTGTTTCTGCGTCCTCATCTCTCTGTGTACGTCACCTCTGGCCCTGATCCCAGCTGCCTACAGTCGACATTCTCCTTGCTGACTTCTCAGCCCAACGCCTCCCCATTCCTGGCCCCCCAGCCACACGCTTACTTCTCTTGCAGGTCGCCTCTCTGTTTCTGGTCTTCGTAGCGGGACAGCTGCAGCCAGCTCTTTTCCCTCTCGAGGTTGGCGAGGGAGCTCTCCATCTGCTGTGGGCAAGGCGAGGTCAGGAGAGAACTCAAAGACACACAGCGTGGTTTTATACCAGCTCTTGGAGAGGACAGTGCCAAGGGAAGGCCACCCTCTCTGTGACAGAGGCCGGACCGTTCCCAACGGAGATAAGCCAGATGCTGCGGCAGCCCCCTCTGGCGTGTACCCCTCACCTCCAGGATCATCCTAGCTCCCTACAGGAGAGCGCTTGCCACGGGACTCAGCATCGCTAGTGCAAAGCCCGTCTACGTCAGCGAGAGGCCTTCCGTTAGCCTCCGCGAGCACTGAGCACCCCGGCATGCCCAGCGCCCACTCCATTCCTCCGGTCCGCATCCCCCTGCGGAAGGATGGGCCCACCCATGCTCCCGACATCCCGATGGAGCCGCCTGCCCAGACCACGGCGCTGTACTGGAGCAGCTTGGAGTCGCTTTGACTCACTGGTCCGACCCGATCCCGAGCCCCTGTAGCTCCTATTGAAACCAGTGAAGGATGCAGGTGCTTAGCACCTCTCTGGGCCAGCCCCAAGTCCGGAGGACATAGAATCCGCAGCTGCTCCTTGCCCCAATCGGACAGGTCCTCCTCGACTCCCCCAGGCTTTGGAGAGACTCCAGTTTACCTTCTGCTTAAGGGAAAACAGCTCAAACTTCACCCTGTTGAGCTCCAGCTCTTCTGTCTGCCCCTCCGCCACCCCAGGCGGGTCCTGCAGAAAGGCCCCCGGCTCTGCTCCCCTCTTCCCATTCTCCAGAAAGGATGCCCGCAGGTCCAGCACCGATCCACTCCACACCCTTCGAGCCAGTGGCCGCATGGGACCGTATTCTTCTGCGCCCCCGTCGGGGAGACGAGACAAAGAATGTCTCCTCCTGATTGGTGGGCTGGCGTGCTTCCTGGCATGGTCCGTGCCATTGGTTAAAACTCTGCCAAGAAAGAGATCCGCCCTTTTTATTTTAACGACTGTCTGGAAGGCTGGGGAAGGCAGAGTCAACAAGCGACCCCCAACAGTGACAAAGATGATCCCTGAACCATTGTTCAGACTTATCATACCTCTCTCCCTTAAAGGTCATCTGGTGCAATGGATTATGGGGCACATTTAGGAAAAATATCTATCCAACCCCTTTTTCCTAGGAGACTCTATGGACAACGGGAGAGCTGGTAGGATGATGTCAGCTCAGGTCAAAGGTTAATGGAACCCAATTGGCTGAAAGGGGGAAGGACTTTTTATTCACATCGTAAAATCCTTTGGTTTCTGTTTGTTTTTAAAAACTCCTATTTAACTCAAATGCCCTAAAAACAGTTGCAAGAAAACCTCTTTTTGTTAGTCAGCACCTCCCCTCCCCAATCCTTCAGTGGATGGCTGAGAGAGCTCACAGTGAACATTTGATACCTCCTGGGAGACCTCCAGCAAATGCAGAGAGGACCAGATTTTTGTTCCCAAGTGTGTCCTAAAAACTACTGTGCTAGATGCAGCATTGCTTTAAAGGAGACATGGCCGGCCGGGGGGGGAATCTGAGAGCCAAAGGCCACCACTACACGTAGCTGAGCAAAACCACAGCCTCCCTTTCTGCTGGGAGTGAGCAGGGCTAGCTCAGGCACACACCTCGCAGCTCACACTGCTTCTGAGCGGGGCCGAGCACCTTCCCTTCCCTTCCCTTCCCTTTGATGTGAGTGGGAATTGCTGGCGCTTAGCACATCTCCGGATCCGGCCCCCCAGGGGGGAGCAGCAGGAGACAAAAGTGTCGCTGAGCAATCCTTACGGCCCTTGTGCTAGTCCAGTGACTCCAGAGATGCGGTGCCGCGGGCCAGCGGGTCCCAAGCTGTTTTACACCGCGGCCCGGCAAACCCACTCCCAAACTTTTGGCAGGCCGGTGACGTTATTTGCATGTTCATTATGCAAATAATGAATATGCAACATGCAAATAAAATGGTACCGTCTGCCAAAAGCCCTGGCCTCCAGATCCCCCCAGGGCCAACCCTAACCCCCCGAGCCCTGCACCCCTCCACTACCCCTCAGTGCCAACCACTGATCCCAAAGTCCCCAGCACCCAATCCCTCCAGTGCCAGCCCCCTACCCCTTAGAGCCCCACTGCACCCAACCTCTCCGAGCCCTTCCCCGTGCTAGCTCCCCATCCCCAGATGCCCCCCAGTGCCAGCCCTAACCCCCAGAGCCTCGCACCCCTCCACTACCCTCAGTGCCAACTGCAGACCCCAAAGTCCCCAGCACCCAATCCCTCCAGTGCCAGCCCCCTACCCCTTAGAGCCCCACTGCACCCAACCTCTCCGAGCCCTTCCCCGTGCTAGCTCCCCATCCCCAGATGCCCCCCAGTGCCAGCCCCAACCCCCAGAGCCTCGCACCCCTCCACTACCCTCAGTGCCAACTGCAGACCCCAAAGTCCCCAGCACCCAATCCCCCCAGTGCCAGCCTCCTGCCCTCCGAGCCCCCCAGTGCCAGCCCCCATCCCAAATGCCTCAGTGCCAGACCCCTACCCCTTAGAGCCCCATTGCACCCAACTGCTCTGAGCCCTTCCCCATGCCAGCTCCCAGTCCCCATAGCCCCCCAGTGCTAGCCCTGCTCCCATAGCCCCCCAGCCATACTAGTCTCAGCCCCACTGCCAGCCCCCCACTCCAGATGCCCCAGTGCCCCTTAGTGTCAGCCCCCTGCCTCTTAGAGCCCTCCACTCCCAGAGCCCCACAGCACTAGCCCCGCCTTCAGAGCCTCCAGTGTCTGCCTCGCCCCCCTCATCTAGCCCTGCACTGCCTCCCAGTCTCCAGCTGAACACTGTTGCCTGGTCATGGCTCCTCTAAAACAGCTGTGATGGACTCATAGACTTGAGGGCTGCATCTAGACTGGCAAGTTTTTCTGCAAAAGCAGCCACTTTTGCGGAAAAACATGCCAGCAGTTTACACTGGCAGCTTGAATTTGCGCAAGAACACTGACGATCTCATGTAAGATTGTCAGTGTTCTTGCGCAAATACTATGATGCTCCCACTCGGGAAAAGCCCTCTTGTGCAAATGCTTTTGCGCAAGAGGGCCAGTGTAGACAGGTAAAAACTCTTTTGCGTAAAAAAGCCCCGATGGCGAAAATGGCGATCGGGGCTTTCTTGCGCAAAACCGCGTCTAGATTGGCATGGACGCTTTTCCGCAAAAGGTGCTTTTCCACAAAAGCGTCCATGCCAATCTAGACGCTCTTTTCCACAAATGCTTTTAACGGAAAAACTTTTCCATTAAAAGCATTTGCGGAAAATCATGCCAGTCTAGATGCAGCCATAGACTTTAAGGTCAGAAGGGACCATTTTGATCATCTAGTCTGACCCCCTGCACAATGCAGGCCACAGAATCTCACCCACCTCCTCCTAGAATAAACCTCTCACCTATACCTCAGATATTGAAGTCCTTGAAATGATGGTTCAAAGACCCCAAGATGCAGAAATCCTGCTAGTGACCCATGCCCCATGCTACAGAGGAAGGCGAAAAACCTCCTGGCCTCTGCCAATCAACCCAGGAGGAAAATTTCTTCCCGACCCCAAATATGGTGATCAGCGCAGCAAAGCGCTCTTCTGTGGCTGGGGAGAGACCCCGCCCCTGCCCAGCACTTGTTGGCTGAGAGGCGGGGCAGGACTTGCTTCTCCCAACAGCCGCAGCGGGAGTGGGGTACCCCAGCCCCGGCCCCCAGAGCCGCAGCGGCCCGGCAGTGGGCTGCAGACTGCTGGTTGGAAACCACTATCATCAGTGGCGGCCCGTCAATGCAGGCAAACTAGGCGGTCGCCTAGGGTGCCAAGATAAATGGCCGTTGAGGGGTTTGGAGGCGGGGGCGCCGATCGTGCGTTTCGCCTAGGGTGCCAGTTGCTGGCAGCTCGTCTAGGGCCACTCCTGGCTACCATAGAGCCACTTGCAGTCCTGACACCTGACCTTGTCTTGTCCATTGAATTACACTGAGATCCTGCTAATAAAACCTCCCACCCCTTACGTAGGGCAAGTGGAAATGGAAATGCCTGGACTGTCCGTCACCTCTGCTTTTTGCTCCGGGCTTTGTTTGAGAAAACCGGAGTCATAGGAATGCTCGTTAACCCATCCTCCCAGTTGGGATGACTGGATAGATGGGTATGCAGGGGGATAAACAGATCAAGCAGTCAATCTTGGACATTTTTCCTGAGAAAGTTCTCAGGGGAAGGACACATTTCCTATTTTAAAAAGAAATTAACCAAAGCCAGTCACTCCAGAGTATGACTTATGCTGCAATATCCCCCAGCTGGTGCAATTTCAACTCGTGTCATTGGAACAACTCACTGCACACAAAGTAGCACTGCCCAGTAACCCCGAGGTGTGATGTAAGAACATATAAATTGCCTGCCTGAAATGCACCAGTGATGAAACTAACCCAGTCCCCTGCCAGATGCTTTCGAGGAAGGACAAAAACTCTTCAGGCCCCTAGCTATGCAGGGCTAGACCCGGCAGGGAAATTTCTACCTGGCTATATGTGGTGATCAGCTTCTGATCTGAAGCATGAGGCTGAATAACTCTTGTTTTATCTCACCTAGTGTGACTGGAGGGGCTATTTGTCCCGTGTCCGATCCAGTTTGAAATGTATGAAGCAACTTGATCCAATAACACAGCAGCAGGGAGTTCCAGTTGTACTTACTGCTCAAGAAAAGGATCTGACCTGCTCTGTGTTTCTTTCTTTCCTGCCATCCATCCATCTAAGCTTTATACAAGAAAAATTCCTTGCAAATCTTCCCAACCAGCATTTTTCCCCACCCCTCAACCACAGACATGTCCACTCAATTCCCACGAGATCCCTCCCATCCGAAGCTCTTTTCAAAACTGAACTTACATCCCACTATCTACGGAGTGGATCCCTCGCAAAGGGCTCATGGACCTGGCTCTTTCCATGTGCCTGGGGCCCCTGCTGCACTCTCTCCATGCACTGTTTGGGTGGCTAGGCTCCCAGGGTCCTGATGTCCCGTTCAGAGGGTTCTGAATGAGGCAAGGAAGAGAAGACTCAGGCTGAGAAGAGGGGTGTACCACTTCACGTTGATTCACACACTCACACTCTCCCTTTTTCTCCCCACCCGTCCCACACTGGAATCGCTCCCTGGCAATGTCAGGCATGTTGCTTGAACAAAGACAGTGACTTGTGAGAGCAGCCACTAACAAGCCCCAGCCTCCCCACAGTCGTGGCAATGCAGGACAAGGGCAAAGCAGCTGTGCGAGGAGGAGAGAATCTGGGGCATGGCAGAGGTGGCTTTGGTGGCAGCAGTGGGATCACAGCGGTGCTGTCATATTGCCCTCGGAGCAACTGGAGTGTGCCAAGGAACCCGGTCCCAGACACACCGTCAGCAGCACATTCCCCTGCTTTATCGGAGGGCTATACGGCATGCTAAGCAGAAGGCCGGGGTGGAACATGACCCTGTAGCAGGGATCCTGTGAAGCCCCAGAGGGAGGTGTCTGGTCAGATCACTGGCCCTGTTACCTCTCCTGACAAGCTGTTTGTGTCGCTCCTCTCCAGCTCCGACATGGAACAGGGCCGAGCTGCCCGGGGACAACTTCTATAGCTCTCAGGATCCTGGCCAGCCCAGCCTGAGGCCCCCGGGCTATGCTGGAAGCAACCATCCCCGCTGTACCGGGACGGCAGCCCAGGAAAGCTGCTCCGCTTCTGGTGGGCCATTTACGGTACGAGGGAGGGGGACGCCCTCCCATGAAGGGTCAGCAGGGCAGCTGAGTCTCAGGTACGGACGTTTGCTTCACATATGGCACTTGCCCTGCGGCCTCTCTCAGGTGCAGATCTGGGCCCCCGGGGGAGGCGCGATCCCGCCGTGGCGTGGAGCGCCAGAGGCCTGTTGCCAAGGACAGCAAATGGAAGAATCGGGCTACCCAAGGGGGGAATTTGAACGGGATCCCTCACCCTCTTGGGCCACCTCCAGGCACGTCCCAGGACCCTCGGCTGCCTTTGCCAGGCACTGAGCTATGGGGCAGGACACCGGAGAGAGGGGAGAGGAAGGGGCTTGCGGCAGCATCGTCCCTGGCCGGGGCCCCCGTGGAGCTGAAGAGCCCTGAGAGGCCGGAGCGTAGAGGCTCCTCTCAGACGTCACGGCGATGAGCACAGCAGCCCACAGACAGATGGCTGGCGGAGGAACGCCCGTGTCCCACCTTGCGAGGCTGAAGGCCCCTCTACCCTACCAGCCACGCAGCTCGAGCGCCCCCCCCGGCAGTCCCCCAGGGGAGGGGGAGCGACCCAGGCGCCAACGCCACCGAGGGAAGCTCTGTCCACAGACCTGCAAGTGGAACAGGAGCGGGCAGATGAAGCCCGGTGGTGGTTCCTTGGCAACGTCAGCATGGGGAGAGGCAGAAGGAGGAACCTTTGCCCCTGGCCCTCCAGCTCCAAAGGGGACCCCGTCACTATTCCCAAGGCCCTGGCTCCCCCAGCGCAGCGTGGGCACCGGGAAAAGAGCCAGCCATGAAGCGGCTGCGCCCTCTGCTCCCAGCTCTGGCCAGGAGAAAGGCGGGCGCTGGCGAGGGTGCGCGCCGAGCGCGGGGAAGCCACTTACCCGTCCGCGAGCCTCCCTGCAGGCCCTGGGGACCCCGCTGGATCGACTCTCCTGGGTGCCTCCTCGTTCGGCTCAGCTGCTGTACTCCCCACCTCTCCCCGTGTCAGGAAACACAGGACTGCTGCTGCCACGGCAACGGCGATGGCAACAAGCTTCCAAGTGCCTGTTCCCCCTCTCCCGATAAACCGGCTCTGATTGTGAAGCGTAGGCGGCTGTCAGCTGGGAGAGCGGCAAGGGCGCCCAGCAGAGATACTCACCCGCCACAGCAGGCCCTACGCCCCCTCTCCTGGGGCCCCTCGCCTGCCACTCCTATGCTCAGCACCTCCCTGGCAAGGCAAGGAAAACTACCCCAATCCTGCCCCACCATTTCCTGGGCCCCCAGGAGCATGGACTCGGGGTGGCACAGTTGAGCCTACATGAGGGAACTGGGCTATTCGGGTCCTCCATCCACAGCAGCAGCAGGAGAGGAGGGTCGTCAGAACCAGGGAATTTGCAGCTAGCCAGCTCTCCCAGCCAACCCCCTCCTTCACAGCGAAATCTTATGCCTCTAGGTCAGCCTTCCTGCAGTAACTGTCTTGTTAAAACACAGAAATCCAGCCACCCTCGGGGGGGAAGACAGAAAGACACGGACGTAACCTCGAACGCTTGACTGGCAAAGATGAGATAGGTAAGATACTGCCCCAAAGAGCTTCCACTCTAACTAGCGATCCAGAGGGCAAACAGAGGCACAGACACAGAAAGTGACTTGCCCAAGGTCACGCGACAGGACAGTGGCGGAGGGAAAGACGGCAACTTCTTCTTTGATTTATAATTCTCTGCAAGATTCTATGTAAGTGGCTTACAATCTCCCTGGAGTAACTGACTCTTTTCTAGAATGAGATGCGACCGGTAGAAAATCATGTTGGGGGCATGGCCGTTTTCTTTCTATCACCTCGTTTTATTTGCAGCCACACGTATGATGCCTTTCCACCCGCTGCTTACGCTATACATCCCTTCACAGACACCATTTACTTCGCGCTCCACATTCCCCACCACCCGCACGAGTCTTCTGATAACAATTAGCTTCCAACACTTCCATCAAGGCTCTTTTACATGCTATTCGTGACTCACTGGCTATTAATAGCGGCAACTACCGATCCTTTCATTAGCTTTTCCTTGACACTCATGTTTGCACTCAAAAGGGAGAAAGAAGGCTGGAAATCCAGCCCTGCTCTGAATGCTGGCAAACTAGCCATGTCAGGGATTGCCAGATGCAGGAATAAAAGCTACCACCCCTCCACGTTCAAAAATCAAAGAGGCAGGCCAAAGTTCCTGGTAAACTGGGTGCTTGTGCGGCAGTTCAGGAGAGATTCCAATGCCACACAGCTGATTAACAGAGCGCCCACAGCTAGATTCTGTGTTTCTGTTGGTGGTGCACATTTACACCTGCCTCGGTGCACATACAGTTGTTCCACACATGAATGGAAAAAATCTGCACATGGATGGACAAGATTAGAGGGAACATTGAGGCAGGCTGCAAAATTATGAGACTTTTTTTAAAATATCCATGTTGGGTTCTTTTCATTTTTCTTCTGTTCTTTGAGACTTTTCAAGCTTTTCTCACAACCTTGAGCGTGAGAAGCTTCTTTTAAATAAAAATGAAAGGCAGGTGTGTCTCAGGCTCACATGACTCCAGGAGCTTGGACTTTAAGAAAAACAACAAATACAGTGAGACTCATGATCAGATCACGAGGGTTGGCATGATCCCTTAAACGAGGTAAGCAAGCCAGATGCTGTCAGCCCCCACCATGGCATATCCATGGCACAGGGGGCTCTCTGGCAGAGCCGCAGGCTGGCTCCTTCGCCCCCTCTTCCCCGCACGCTGAAGGAAGCCCCAGCGTAGGATGCATTTTAAGGGCAGTGATGGCTGGGGGCATTTCAGAGCAGGGGAAGCGGGTGGTTTGCTACACACACAGCAGCGGGTCCCAGCAAAGGGGGCACTGGAGGCTGGGGAGGGGAGTGTGCTGAAGCATTTCAGGGCAGGTGGGAGGGAATGCTGCACCCCAATGATTCTGTAACCGAGCAGCAGACAAGTGAGAGCTGCTTAGAGCTAATTCAGTCTGCACCAGAAGCCAAACCTGCCCTCAGTAGGTCTTGAATAGAGGATACACTAGCCCCTTCTCTTTCCTGGACCAGGGATGAATCTAGCTCAGTGACCACTCACACGTGTACGTGTGTGTGCTGCACGCGCGCACACATACACACATCCATGGCCGTGAAACTGGTGGCTCTTGTTTGCTGTTGTTGACTCTTCCTCTTTTGACTAGAGTCCATGGGGATCTTCCCCTTCCTATTTTGTTTCAAATCCGACCGCCCCCACTTGTCCCTTATATAACATCTACATTTTTTTTTCAAAGCATTTTGCAAACATTAATTCATGCAACAGCCCTGTGAGGTGAGTATTAGAGGGCCAAATTCATCCCTAATGTAATTAAACTCGGTGGTTCTCAACCAGGGGTATGCAGGGGGTACTGACCGGTCCTTCAGGGGCTTCATCAGTTCATCTAGATATTTGCCTAATTTTACAATAGGCTGCGTAAAATGCACTAACAAAGTCAATAGACACTAAAACGCAATGCAATGATTTACTGCTCTGTGTGCTATACCCTGAAATGTGAGTACAATATTTATATTCCAACTGATTTATTTATGATTCTATGGTAAAAAAGAGAAAGGAAGCAACTTTTTGGTTACAGTTTGCTTGGGACTTTTTGCATTTTTATGTCTAATTTTGTAAGCAAGTCATTTTTTAAGTGAGGTGAAAGTTGGGGGGTACACAAGACAAATCACACTCCTGAAAGGGACACAGGAGTCTGGAAAGATTCAGAATACATGTCCTGTAAGCTGAGTGCTTAGGCAGCCACCCAGGAGATTCAAATGCCCCCCCGCTGATTAGCAGACCAGCCACAGTGCCCACAGCTGGCAGCATGTGTTTCTACTGATGGTGCACATCCACACATGCCTTGGTGCACATAACAACATTTAATCTGCACATGATGGAAAAAATAGAGGGAACATTGGTTGAGAGCCACTAACTTTCAGCAGAATTACACCAGGGATTAGTTTGGTCTATGAGCTCTATATTACCAATTCAGACACTGAGCTTAAGTGACTTGCCCAAAGTCACACAATGAGTTGGGGCCGAATTGGAATCCAAATTAACGAAAGAGTTCTTGTCTCTTTTCTAGCCGCACACTCAAATTCTGGCTCTGTTTCTCTAGAAGAGCCCTTAAGAAATAGGATCTAGATAAATTAACACAGTTTGAACTAAACCTACTTTTGAAACCATTTTAAATGGTTAACATGAGTGAATTGTTATGAACATGTGCACAAGTGTGCAAATAGCAATGTACAGACTCAAAATGACATTGCTCTTCCTGGAATGCATAATCAGATGGTATTAAATGGTGGGTGGTTAAAACCCCAATGGCGGACATACCCAAATCAGTAGAGTACTGGAAATCCACAGATATCTGCTTTATATCTGTAGGTATCTGCATCCAGATACAGCTCATTTTTGAGGATATGGATGTGGATATCTAGAACCTTGCAAATCTGTGGATATTTGCTTTATATCCTCAGGTATTGGAATCCATGGATGTCAATGTGGATAGCCGCAGCTCATTTTTGCAGATACAGCTGCTAATGAGGATACAAACTTTGTATTTGTGCAGGGCTTTGCTGGACGGGGGCGTTCAGGGGGACAATTGCTAGGAGGTGATCTTGGTGAGAGCCGAGGCGGGGGGTATAGCAGTTGTCAACGCTTCCTGCAGATGCATGGAAGCCTGAGGGTCCCACCATCCTTGCCTACATAGGAGGGGGATGATACCCCCACCCCACTTGACAGTACAAGGCGAGTAAATCCTTCTCTTTGAATCCCTTGGGAGTAGAACATCTAGGCTAAATATTGGCAAGGGTACTCAAGGTCTAGTGTAGCAACTGCCATTTCTTGTATTTTGTCCAATATAGGCCAAATCGGGGCCTAAAAGAAACCCGTTTGTATAGATTAGAGCATTTGCATGGAATTTTAAAACACAATACGGCGTTTAAAAGAAAATTCTGCCCTGTTGCACACTTCTGGGTGTCTGAAAAATTCCACAGAGAGCTGAGCCAGCTCCTGTTCCCGGCTCCCTGCAGGTGAGACCAAAGGGCCGAAGTGCAGCGGGTTTCTCCCGCAGAGGTGCCACTCCCGGGACAGGCAGGGCCAGAGGGTGCAGTGGAGGCCTGCTGGGCTGTGGCTCGCTCCAGGCCAGGGCAGAGCTCCAGAAGGAGGGCAGCATGGCAAGCAACCTGTGCCCCGGCAGCCTGCACGTAATACTGCACGTCACTAGTGGCACCTGTGAGCCCACGCACCCAAATGCAGCACCCCAGGGCTGGCTCTCCACGTGGCCAGGCTGCAGCCCCGCCCTGCTGCAGCCAGGCCCCAGCCTGCGGCCACGTGCCCAAGGGACAAGGTGGGACAGGGCCCCCACTTCTGGGGCGCCCCCTTGCCTCTCCCCGCCTCTGGCGCTGGGCCCCCACTTCTGGGGCGCCCCCTTGCCTCTCCCCGCCTCTGGCGCTGGGCCCCCACTTCTGGGGCGCCCCCTTGCCTCTCCCCGCCTCTGGCGCTGGGCCCCCACTTCTGGGGCGCCCCCTTGCCTCTCCCCGCCTCTGGCGCTGGGCCCCCACTTCTGGGGCGCCCCCTTGCCTCTCCCCGCCTCTGGCGCTGGGCCCCCACTTCTGGGGCGCCCCCTTGCCTCTCCCCGCCTCTGGCGCTGGGCCCCCACTTCTGGGGCGCCCCCTTGCCTCTCCCCGCCTCTGGCGCTGGGCCCCCACTTCTGGGGCGCCCCCTTGCCTCTCCCCGCCTCTGGCGCTGGGCCCCCACTTCTGGGGCGCCCCCTTGCCTCTCCCCGCCTCTGGCGCTGGGCCCCCACTTCTGGGGCGCCCCCTTGCCTCTCCCCGCCTCTGGCGCTGGGCCCCCACTTCTGGGGCGCCCCCTTGCCTCTCCCCGCCTCTGGCGCTGGGCCCCCACTTCTGGGGCGCCCCCTTGCCTCTCCCCGCCTCTGGGGCGCTCCCCAGGCTTTGTGTACGTTGTAGGGTGACGCCAGTTCCTCTGCTGGCTCCTTTGAGATGTGAAAGGGTTTGATATTTACATTGTGTTTCACAGCTGTGCCCTGGTTTGGGGCAGTCTGCTGATGAATATGTAGAAATAATATAACTGTGGTGAGAGGGACAGGAAGGCTTTGATTTTGGATGGTAATAGAGCTGTAACCGTGTTAGTCCAATCTTGCTAAACCAAAAGGAAAAACTTTGTAGCACTTTAAAGTCCAGCAAGATGGTTTAATACGTGATGAGCTTTCTTTCGTGGGTCTGGCCCACGAAAACTCACCGCCTATTAAATCATCTTGTTAGTCTTTAAAGTGCTACATAGTTTTTCCTTTTGATTTTGGATGGTCAGTTATGTGTCTCTAAAACTCTTCATTGCTGTAGTCCTGTGAGGGATGCAAACAGACCAAAATCCTTTTTTGCAGCTTTCAAATCATGACCAACTGCACCTTTTTGTAACATATTGCAATGAGGAACACTCTGTTTCCTGAAATATGGAATATTCCTTGTTTGGGAGATGTTTCTGTGTCTAGCAGGATTGGCAGACTGGAGATGGGGATGGGGAATTTAGTGGATGAAAGGAGGGAAAATGTTCATCTGTGGTCTTGGAGGCTGAACAGTTTTTTGTCTTTACTTCAGTCACTCAATCACAAGGTTGACACTCAACCTCTGCGAAGTTGTGTTGTTCTCTAGCCACCATTTTTACTATCAGAAAGAACAGAGCTAATGGATCCAGTGAAAGTTTATCTAGATCTCTTCTGGTAGATGTGAGGTCACCATGATAAGATGGTAGAAGACACTGCTATCCCTGGTTAAGGCTTTTCACCTCAAAAGAGTGGGATTTATGGTGCCTCAATCGTAAGATCGAAATAAGGCAGAAATAATGCAGCAGAATAGATCTAGAAAAGCTGTACAAGGGGAGGAAGAAACCAGATATGACTGCTTTGTTCTTTACAGGGACATTAGTTAAAGATAAGCAGGGTGGATAAAAATCAATTATTTTTTAAACACATCAAATAATTTGGATTTTTGATTATTGTAAAAAATTAACACTACTAATGTTTTCATTTAAAAATAAGTTACAATTAAATCTTATTGTAAAGATGCTACACTTATAGACTCATAAACATGAATTAATGACTTTAGTCTGTCCAGCCTAGCAACCAGCTCT